CGTTGGAAGCTCTGTCTGACGTGTCTGCCTCCGCGACCCGAAAGGAGAAGCGGCGATGGAAGATGAAGATATATTAATGAGGCAACGGAGTTACCGTTTATTTGAAGAAAAAACTGAATCTGAAGGAACTATGGAACCAACTCAGTGCATATGCGCTAATTTTATCTGACTAGTACATAAAAGTAAATAGTATTTGCTTCAAACGTCCACTGCAAATGTGCATGCATTGTATAATCGTCCGTGTTTAATAACTGTATGGTATCAACATCTTCTAGGCGTCACGACAATGCACAGCGTTGATCAATGGATAAGGCGTGCTAGCGGCGAGTGTTATACAGTCGGATCGTATGTCAAATGTGACTAGTCTCTTCCGCAACAGTTACTTAACAGCTATGTCCGACATATTAGTTAAACCTAAATCCATCACTTCCCCATATGAACTTCTTCTGCGGTAACCGAATCAAGTCGGCGGTCAACCAGATAATCAGAAAGTAACATGGATAAACAGAATAAATGTAGATATTCGTTGTATGATACAGCACACAACATATTACAACAGAAAAGCTTAAAAGCGATGAAAGAAATGGACATCACAAGCCAGAGACCATCTGTTTACGTGAATGACTGAAAGCGATGGCCACAATAATAATAGCCATACCAGGAAGCATATATAAATACTGGAGAAGTCAGCACAAGAATCCATCTGTGATCACGTACCTGTGTACTTTGCACTGGAAACCGCAGTTTCGACTGCAGTATTACCTCGATTAGACGCGTCATCTTCGCTCATAGTCTCGTTAGTAATATCAGTTTCGACGTGTTCGTCATCATCGTTCGTAGCCTCTTGAGCAGTGCTATTTCCGTCGCCCTCTTCGTTCTCACTTACAGACTTGTCAGCAACGTCTTTTGGATGGCCCTTGTCTTGATTACTTGCAGGCATATCAGGAATCTCACTTGTCACTTCGTATTCGACTTCATCTTTCGCAACTTCTTCAGCAACGTCACTTGGCTCAAAATCGCGCTCATCATTCGTAGGTTTGTCAACACAGTTTTCGGTGTCTTGAGAAGGTGTAGGCAGTTGCGAATCGACCTGCTCTTGAACTTGTTTCTGTCCATTGCAGGCATCGCCCTACGAAAAGATATCATGAAAACGCAACTGGATTTAGAAGCGATATATACAGAAACAAAATATAATCAAAATTGCGAACATTAAATACATCCGTACACAATGCACACATATGATCATCAGGAATTTAGTGAAATTTTTCTGCCGTCCGACATCGATTGACAAGACCGTCTCAGTTAAAGTTTTCGAAAAAAAATCCTGCTAACGAAGATTTATAACAGTGGGACAATTGATACTCTATCATATTGCTTGATAACGACAAGAACAGTCAGTGATAACTACACTGCCAAACTGTTGTAAAGCTATTCCAATTTTAGCTTGAATTACCATTTAGAAAATATTTTGCCGCGAAAGCAAGAAATTAGCTGTAATATTTATTAGCTTAAGTTGACGAATTTTGCAAGGCAATAGCAGAAAGAGTACCAGGTTCTGATATGAGAACAAATTATGGGAAGTTTGTAACCGTCGAAAAGTTTCTCTTCCTTATATTTTTATGATGGGGCCATTTCAATGCCCTCCTATTTTCTAAAGGAAGAGTCGGCAGCAGCTACGTTGGAAGCAGAGTGTGTAGCTCCTGTTTATTTTCAACAGAGTAGTACTCATTTATCAATCGCGAACGGAAAAAAGCGAATGACCTTAACGGGGGCTCAAATTTTAAACCTTTCGGTTCTGAATTCGATAATCTACATAAAGAACAACGTGTGGTAAATTTCTTACTCCCTTATACCACTATGTAATAACTTTTCCTAGGTTGTCAGCCTGTACGCATTGTCGAAATGTCTCTGTGCCACTGATAACGATTAGTGACCTTTGAACGTCGTTGCGAATCACAAGGATTCCTATCTGTTAAAAACTAACACTGTACCTGCGATGCATAAGAACAATGGTAAAACGTTAAGAAAAACACAGTCACAACTCAACAACTGAGAAATCACGAAGCAGTTCATACCCTTGACTTGCTTACCTCGTTAATTGAACAAAGTACTGACTGAACGGACAGTTTACACGAATGGAAGCCAGTTGTTACAGTACCCACTTTGACCGGAACCGGATTTTTGACATCATAATCATAGTCGAACGTTTCTTGCTCTGCAGAGTCGAATCCAGGCGGGTGGTACTCGATCGGTGTACGTTCATCGTAGTAAAATAGTTTCATTGTAACGTAAGCGTCGTCTTCAATATCTTCCAGATTTTGACACAACATGTACAAGTTAAAAAGCAGCTTTTTGAAGGCGCCTTTTACCTACATGAGCCAAGTATAAACATCACGCAGATACTTCCTTTTGCTACTTAAAACTTTAAAACGCAATATCATTTTTAAAACTATAAAAACTAACTCAAATTTTTGAAATGATCATTTTAAATTATTTTCATCTTTTCAAATTAGGTCAGTGCACTATTCGCAAACATTTTTGGAGAATTTTATAATTTTCTAGAGAAAAACGACTGTTTGAATTCACTTATCATTCTTCACCAACAACCTTTGACATTCGCCGCAGAGAACTCAAATTTTTCTGATAGTACAAAGCTAACAGCTGATATTTAGAACCAAAAATAAAATTAGGTATTTTTGACTCGCTAGAAAACCGTTAGTTTTCCATACCGCACGACAGAATAATATTTTCGTTAATTTTCCAAATTCATAAGACGTTTTCCTTTGCTTCCAGCTGATTAGGGAACGTCTAAACGGGATGAGGCTTCATAATATTACAACATCCACGGTACGAGGTAATAAACCATCATTGCTTGGGCTATATATATATTTATCTAGCCAGATTTCATGGCGCATATACATGTATATCTCCTTTGTCTTCCATATTATCAGTTAGCATTGAATTTCTGAAATTTTTTCATTTCTGTGTACAAAGCACGATCTTTAATGACCACGGTCGAATAATATACTTTTACTTGTTTGAAATTATTCTAATTATTTGTAAGTAAATGACTGTCATGCTCTTAAACGAAATATTCTATACAGCTTTGTTAAAAAACAGCCTGAAACACGGTTTATAAAGCAAAAAGATATGGCCACTCGGATGATTCACAAACACACCGATGTTACGGTCCATGTTTCACGAGTCTCCCAGGTGCGAGGTTAGTGGAGTTTCGGAAGTTTTATTTCTTGACCTCAATGGCTGGCAAGTTTGGTGTCAAAAGGCACATTTTTTGTCCATGCTGTTGGTAAATAATTTCTGGACGTCGGAGCAACCAGGCTAATCCATGATATATTATATCTTCGTATAT